TAAACAACTAACACTTAAGACATTTTCATAAGGTTTATTATGTTGTGCTGAAGTAGGAGAACATCCCTTTAATATAAATATACATGTAGAAGCAGTTAAATGTTTTAACACAAAAATTGGGAGTGTTAAGGACATTAAATCTGTGATGGCATTAAATGAATAATAATAAAAACCAGATTAAAAAAACTTGAGCTATGGGACTGCTGGACTCCAAGCCAATTGTGGGTGTTTAAAGATAAATTCTGCTACTAGTTTGATCCAGACCTCATCATGTCTGCAAATTGGTACTACAGTACTATATATGCACATAATGGTTGGTCTCTCATTTACATTCTCATGTTTCTATGTTGATTGTATTAACTTGGTTCACACTTTGGGTAAAAAAAAAGTTAAGAGATGGTTTGTGTATGTTCTAAAATGTAACTGTTCTTGAATATGTTAATGTTAAGTAAACAGAAGCCCCAGTTGTCCTCAAGGAATCTTATTTAATGCGTAATTTTAACCATGTTAGAAAGTGCTGTATAATGTTCCTCCTTGTGTCTGTTTTTAAACTTTCTTAAACACTGTAAGGTCTGTAATGTTAATGAGTACTGTATACATTATGTGTAATTGTTAAACCATGATTGCATTGCTTCTGAAAAGTATTTACAGTATTAGTGCAGTACCAACAATCATGATCTACTTGTTTTCTCTATATACAGTACTATCCTTTTGCTCCAATTTATTTATTTTTCAAATTGAACTATATTTAAAGCTTTTTGGTGGTTTCTGTACTAACTTCAAAAGATTCACATGCAGCCAAGCTGCTAGAAATGTAGATAAAATCCAAACATTGTCTCTGAAATTGCTCTGCCATAAATTCCACACTGACATAGTCGGTTACTAAAAGCACAAGAGCAGACAACTTCTGAAGCTCAAAATGCTCGCAGATTTCATTTAGGAAATAAAGAATATGAAATATTGGCAATCATTATCAGCAGACTGCAATATGCCTGCAGGATCAGGTAACAATTTTTTCGGTGGATTACGTAAAGATAATATGACATCATTAAAAAATAGACTTGTGATTTCTTTCTCACCTTTTTTATATTAATGAGCCTTGTTTATCATCATAGGCTTGATTATAGGCTAGATTATGTATTGCTGTGCTTACTGGTGTTAAACATGTTCTTAACACCATGTTGCAGCATGTTCAGAAAGCTGTACACGAACAGTAATTAAGAAGTATACAGTATATCTCTATCAACTATTTTAGCTTTCATGTATACCCTGCCGATTTCAGAATAAAATACTGCTACAAACTTAAGGCTTACGTTCCTCTCAACATCATTAAACTGTTACCGTATGTTAACATTTACTCTCTAGACACCTGCATGTAGTACACATATGTATTTTTTTAACTCAGTTCTGTGGAATGATGGAATGATGATCTTGTACCAGATCTGAAAAGCCATTCTCCATCTGTTTGGGAAAAAGTGATATATACATTTATATTTCTTAAAAGATACACACATAAAGAGACACAAACCAAACAAACAATGTTCCAAACAATGTTCCAAATCAAACTTACTGTACTTGATTTAACTCAGGAATATAATACAGAGCTATTTAGTACTGTACTGGTAAATGCCTTAATTGTGCCTGAAATTAAGCAATTACTAATAAAAATATCAATAGTCAAGTAGTCAAAAAATAATATTTTTTATTATAATTAATGTTTTTAATAAATACATGTTTATTCTGAACTGCTTATATGAATGTTGATCTCCATTAATTAGTGGGGTCTGTTCATTATTTACAGTAAGTGTTTTATGCATCTTAGGTGGGATTGTCAAATTTGTACAGACATCTTAGTTTACTTACTGTAAATCGTTACTGTACATTCATAGTATTATACAAATATGGCAGTTTGAAATTACTATTTATTAAGATAGTGATCATATGATTTTTGAATGTTAAAACCAGCATGAGGTGTTCTTTACACAGGAGGAAATTGCCAAAAACTGACAGTTAACTTGCTTAATGTCCTTAGACAACAAATGACTCATCTTACTTGACCTATCTTGCTAAAATCTCAAAGCTTCTCATTTTGCCTAAACCTGCAACGTACACAGCTGTGTATAGTTTTTTCTTATGTGTGCAACCCAAGATGGGCTGTGCCCCTCCATCCCATGATGCGTTATTTTCCTAATTTCTCACACTGAGCTCTATCTACAGTAGCTCACACTACTTTGTAATGGTGTCATACAGTATCTTATACACCTGGCCATGGTAATGGTGTAATGGTGTCATATCTATACACCTTTTGCTGGGTGACTGACAATGATCAGTCCCAACATTGTTGCTGACCCTGTTTTGCACATCTACTGTAGAGAGGGCTGCTCAACAACAGTCAGCTATTTTCTGTCCATGCTTTTGCTTCATTTCAAGTCACAAATGCTGCCTTATTTGTGGGACAGCATAATGAGTGAAAATTATCTAAAATATGAATTAAAAGTGGAAACATATGTCAGAATTCAGTATTTCATGAGAGGTGTCCCCTGGTGTTTCGTCAACATAAGTCATCTTGTGGCTAGCAGGGTACACACATACACTTTTGCTGCTCTATAGACCTATCTGCTTGTTTCTGAAAATTTATTGTGTATTCTCAATTTGTGCCAGGGATTGACATTGGATGGTAAGTCTTTTAAGAGCAGTTTATTATTAAATATTAGGCTTAAACGCAAATAATCTCCTCAATCCTAGCCAGTTCCTTATTCCGAAATAATTACTCTATATATAGTTTGTAAAAATTCAAATATAAAAATAATGAGGAATGAATTTGCTTTTTTCTTAATAGGCAAGAAAGCAAACCCCCTCAAGAAAATGTCTGGAACACTTTTCTTAGAGCTACCCTGGAATTTAAAGAAATCTCTTGGCTAGGTCATCGCTAACAACCATCGCATGGTCCCAGCATGTAACTGGAGCACAATAACACCTTTATTTCATCAGACAATTGAAAAACTTTGGACTGCCTTCAACTGTCCTTTTACAGGTGCGCTATTGCGCTTTTGTGCTCACATGTGGAATTACAGTGTGGTTTGGCAGCAGCTCATTGTCTGACTGGAAGGCATTACAGGGGCTGGTCAGGTCAGCCCCATCCATCACTGGAGTACGGCTCCCCTCTATTTCAGACATTTTTACTACTCGCTGTCTCAGGAAGGCTGCTTGTATCACTAAGGACACCATTCATTCTGGTTCCTAATTTTTCACCCCCCTTCCCTCTGGTGAGCGTTATAGAAGCATAAAGGCACGTATGTCCAAGTTCAGAGACGATTTCTTTCCTCAAGATGTGAGATTACTGAACTCTACCACTACCACTGGCTCACACTGATGTTTTTTTTGTTTTTTTTCTTCAAGATGTATGTTTTTTAACTTGTTGTTGTTCCTGCCCTGATCTGTGTTTTTGGTGTTTCCTTGATGTCTTTGTATAGGAGTATACATGCAAATAATCATTCATTGCACTTGTGCCCATGACAATAAACTCTACTCTCTACCTCTTCCAGCAGCAACCTTAGTTTTCCCGGGAGGTCTCCCATCCAGGTACTGTCCAGGCTCACACCTGCTAAGCTTCGGTGGGCTGTCAGTTGTGTGTTGTAGGGTGATATGGCTGCTGGCTGGCACACAAACAGGAAGCATTCAATTGTGTGCCTTAAAATCTGTATATATTGTAATCATTTGAACAATAAACTGATTAAGGGATATAGCTAAGGTGCTGAATACGTTTGAATCCAATTGAGAATCGTTATGTGTCACACAGTGTCCGCTAATCTTTACGACGCTGATGCACTTCTATTTTGGGTTACTGTGTTACGCACTTAGGTTCCTTGGTGGGTTTTTTGCTGTTTTCTGGCACTTCCGAGACATGCACAATAAAGAACAGACATCTGCAAAGCCCGTCCGTCTCAATCTCTGGTTTTCCACGGTGTAACAAGAATCGTCTAATTTTCTGTAAAAATCTAACTTGCATTCATACTATCAGTGTCATTGTCAAAGTGTTATGACTGGATTTTCCGATAGCAAAAAAAAATTGACAGGGAAAGAATACATTAGCAAAGCAGGACATTTGCCTGTAAAGTATCTTATTGTTTTGATGTCAAATGAAAACAAAAGTTTGTCCATATGTTTATTTTTCATTCAGACTCATTCTATTCAACAATCATGTCCAACAGCAAGTTGAACAAATCATGCTCAATTATTATTTAAAAAGTTTAAGAAAAACCTGTACCTACACGATAAAGTACTTATTAAAACCTGATCTGAAACTACACGGGTCAAGACCTTGAGATTGTTTATCAGCTGAGATACATTATCTACAGTATATGTCTCTCTATCTTCTTTGGTGTTAGTGTCCATGGAATAGTTAACAAATAATAATAGACCGTTCATTCCCTGACTTTCTAATAGCATTTGGCACCTTAACATGGAAGGTGATAATTCATCATCAGAAATGTTAATTATTCATCTCCTCACTGGAGTAGTCGTGGCTTAGCTTGTAGCATATAAATTGAGGCACCACACTTAGTCATAAAGAGCTTATACTGTGCATCTATAGGTCCTCTTCTAGCCCAGCCTCTTGAATTCCACACTTACAATGATTCTAAGCCTAGTGGTGATTTGGGGAGTCGTCATTTGGCTTTTTTGCTGCTTGTGGCTGATTCTGGGGATCCGCAGAAGGTAAATACACTACTGGCTTTTTTGTGCATCTGGGTTTTGCACCATTGTACTATTACAAATTATTATAATTAGACACTATAGTGTTTAATTCTTAATGCTCATGTTTTTAAATATGTGGAATAATATGTATTTTAGTTCTTGTTTATTGACTTTCTAACTGCAGCTAAAGACCACAAATACATATTAGATATTTATTACACACTGTGGTATAATATGTTTTTTTTTTCACTCTCTCCTTGAGCACAAAACCACAGCCTGTGTTGGTGTTTTTGAAATATCATAGTAGGCATAAGCACAATTCTGCATTTCTCTGTTTTGGACAGTAGGCGGGTTTTGGTATTCTGTGACACATTTTATCATACTACAATTGTGGAAATTAGCAAAAAAGACAATGTTTAGACTTATCAAGCCCATCCCTTAGTTGTGATAAACATGCTGTTTTCAAAACCTTTAGGAATTCTCCCATTGTTTCTGTTTCCTTTAAGGAACAGCCCAGCAGGGAAAACATGGGCAGAGGGTGACAGGGTTTTCCTATTAAATCTGTTTAATTTTTCAGGCGTCCAGGAGAGCCCCCGGTAGAGAGTGGTCTCATTCCCTACCTTGGCTGTGCCCTCCAGTTTGGTGCCAACCCACTCGAGTTCCTTCGGAGCCGACAGAAGAAGTATGGGCACATCTTCACATGCAAAATCGCAGGCCAATATGTTCATTTCCTCACAGACCCTTTCTCATACCACGCTGTGATCCGCCAGGGTAGGCATCTGGACTGGAAGAAATTTCACTTTGCTGCCTCTGCCAAGGTAACAGATTGATACTTTTAATGTACCTTAACAGAGATTGTTTTTAATCATCAGGTTATTGTCGTAAACAAGCACTGCATAACATAAAATAGGTAAATAGGCTTTTTAAGATAAGGGGGTACCATTTATTACAAGAACAGACAAATTGACGATGTTAGAATGCATCTAATCATTCACAAAAAGGACTTTTAAATAAACTAGGTAACTGAGTATTTCAGAATAGTTTCAGAATAACTTGCATCTTTTAACATGTAACAAATACAAAATGACAATTATAAATTCTGTTTAATCTTGTAAAAGCCAGATACAGTAGGTAGAAAAATCTCATATCTCCCATTTCTTTTATGAAGTCAATATTCTCTCTATGTCTCAGTGCAACTTAATATAAAGAAACAGGATTAATATTTATTTTTTCCAGGCTTTTGGGCATGAAAGCATGGATCCAAATGATGGCTTTACCACAGAAAACTTGCACCAGACGTTTATCAAGACACTGCAGGGGGATGCTTTGCAATCTCTGGTTGAGAACATGATGGAAAACCTCCAGTGTGTCATGCTGCAGTCAAGCACACTGAAAATGAACTCAAACGACTGGGTCACAGACGGGATCTTTGCCTTCTGCTACAAGGTGATGTTTGAGGCTGGCTATTTGACGCTGTTTGGCAAAGAGCTCAATCCTCAAGAAGACAAGAACCTTGCCCGACAGGAGGCTCAGAAGGCACTGGTACTGAACGCCCTTGAAAATTTCAAAGAGTTTGACAAGATCTTCCCAGCTCTTGTTGCCGGTCTGCCCATCCATGTTTTCAAGAGCGCTCACAGTGCAAGAGAGAACCTGGCGAAGACCCTCCTTCATGAAAACCTCAGCAAAAGGACGAATATGTCTGATTTAATTTCTCTCAGAATGATTCTGAATGACACCTTGTCCACCTTCAATGATATGAGTAAAGCCCGAACCCATGTAGCCCTGCTGTGGGCATCACAAGCCAACACATTGCCAGCCACGTTCTGGACTCTGTTCTATCTCATCAGGTTCGTAGGTTTTCAAGCTGGTGAATAGTCTGTTATTATGCTAGCAAAAATAATAATGTAAAAACATGTAAATAATGAACTCCTAATACAGTATATTCAGAAAATCTAATTTACATCAGAAAGTGTCCATGAAACAAAGATGGCAATATCTTAATGCTGTCTTGTTATATGAAGAGCTAACTAGACTTTCAAGATGCCTTACTTGCATAGACTCAATGCTACCTACAGTTTAATCTTCCTCTCCTTCACAGGTGTCCTAAAGCAATGAAATCTGCAAGTGATGAAGTGAAGAGAATACTGGAGGATTCTGGCCAGAGAGCAAGCGTGGATGGCACCCATATATGTTTAAACAGGACACAACTAGATAACATGCCTGTATTGGGTACGTCCAGCTTAATTAAAATGATAACTTTATCTTAAAACACATTAAATACTTAGGCATATATATAAGGTGGCATTCAAGATAAACTGTAGTTTGCAATACAATGTGAGACTGCAAAATAATTCAATTACAAAATGTGGGATACAATGCAATAGATTAACCTGTTCTCTTCTGTTTTTCATAATATTTTTTTACAGACTGCATCATCAAAGAATCGATGAGGCTATCCAGTGCATCCCTTAATGTCAGAATTGCCAAAAACAACTTTCAGCTGCACTTGGATAACAATGAATCCTACAGCATCCGGAAAGATGATGCGATAGCCCTTTACCCACAGCTACTGCACCTTGATCCAGAAATTTATGAAGATCCACTGGTTTGTTCAAAATACTTGCTCTAAATATTTGTATAGATAGGACATACTGTAAGACACTGCTAATCTGAAATATGTTTTGCCAATAGGTTGGTAGCACTCAATTGCTGTAGAAGCAGTATTGGTAATATTTTAATGCTTCTCTTGAATGAGGCTAAAAAATTGTCATCACACCTTCATAAACTTCATGCCAGCAGCCATATCACCCTGCAACTCACAACTGACAACCCACTGAAGTTTACCAGGTTTGAGCCTGTCCAGTACCTGGATGAGAGATCTTCTGGGAAAATTAAGATTGCTGCTGGAAGAGGTGTTAATGAGGCCTGTGGTCTGTGTGGGTCCTAATACCCCAGTACAGTGACAGGGACACTATACTGTAAAAAGGTGCCGTCCTTCACATGAGACATAAAGCCAAGATCCTGACGGTCTGTGGTTATTAAAAATCCCAGGGCGTTTTTCAAAAAGAGTAGGGGTGTTACTCCAGCATCCTCGCCAAATTTCCTATTATTATTATTATTATTATTATTATTATTATCATTTGCCACATGTACAGTAATTGCTAGGTTGACACAATAAAGAGCCGATGAAAACTGTATGCCTCAGTCTTTGGTTTCTCGCAGGAAGTTTTAGCTGAAGGCTGAACTCCAGATGGAGAGTTCAGGTGAAAGGCATGGACGTCACCACTGAGGACTAGAGAGCTGACAATGATTCAGTAACAGGGGTCCTTATATGTTTAATGACATTTTATTTTGCTTCACAGTTTTTATACATTTTCTTTCATTGTGTTGTGTGGTGTTTATCTAGGAGTTATGGCTGTGTTTTTTTTAGCGTCATGTTTCAGTGTGTATAAAATATTCAGAAATATTTACCTTTTTCATAGCCGTATGGCGCATTAAAAGAAGAAAACAAAACTGTCATAGCCTAAATACTGTTTATGGATTATATAATCCCTTGGTAATATTGTTTTTATTTATACACAGACATTTAAATATGACAGATACCTGGATGAAAATGGACAAGAGAAAACATCCTTTTGCAGAAATGGTCGCAAACTAAGACATTATTACATGCCTTTTGGATCTGGAGTGACAAAATGTCCTGGAAGGTTTTTTGCTGTTCATGAAATCAAGCAGTTCCTGTCTACGTTGCTTTCCTACTTTGACATGGAGCTTTTAGATCCAAATGAGAAAATCCCTCCATTGGATCAGTCTCGTGCCGGACTGGGTATTTTACAGCCTACATACGATGTCGATTTTAGGTACAGACTGAAGGGTTTATAAAAAAGTGCTTGTTTATTTCTGAAATGCAAGTGTAAATACTGTATATTATGCTCATAACTGACGTTATACATTGCTTTACCATTATGAAAAGTGCTTGGCCTTGCTGCTACTGACAGTATAAACAGTTTCTATGTTATTAATTTGGCTCATTTACAAATGGAGCTTCAGTGGTTGGGTTTATTCACTAGTAGACTATATAGCTCTCTGTAGAGTTCACACGAGAAGTTATTTTGAGAGATAGAGTAAAGAGTGCAAGTTATGACAACATGAGACAGATAAGGACCAGCGATACTGAATCCTCACTACAAGGAACAGAGGCCAATTTTCAAGTTGTACAGTATGTGTTATAGGAATGATAGTTTAATATGAAGAGTCTTTGATTTATCTTTATCTGCTTTGGTCTTTATTTGGAAAGATTTGATCAAAATAAACAGTTATTGAAAAGGTGTATTTTGAAATCTTTGTAACGCCCCCGGGGTTCGCCGACGGAAAGAAACAGGCAGGAGACTCTGGCACGGGTTGGCAGAACATTTATTAAAGATGTGAGGGGGGAATACACACACAGGGACTGGGGGGATACAGCACTGCACCTCACCTTCACGGACACAAGAGGGAAGCGTCTCCAGCCCTCGTCCTACTATGTACGGGTGGGTAGTCCCGCCCCTCAGCCACCGTTCCCAGCCTGCCTTGCGTGTGCATGCCTACAGCGCCCCACGTGGGTCCTACGCATATATTATTTAAACCATATTTAGAATGAGCCATGTAATATTATTCTATGTTGTCTACAACTAAAATTGTTCTTTTAATTGTAACGCTACCTTACTGCCACGACTGCAGAAAATCTACGTCGTTTTTGGAACTTGAACAGAGTATTTGACACAATTTATACAGTTGAGTTTTAACTTGATGAAAAAGAATTTGCCATTTTTTCAATACCCATTTTTTGACATGAATAAACCATTCTTTTCATGATGTAAAACATGCCATACATCCAATTTTATGGTAATACATAAAACGTGAATGTTAAAACATGTAACTTTTCATATATTGCTATAAAATTGAGTGTCTGGCATTGTGTCACATTACCACTGGAGTTTTGTACATTATGTAAACATTGGAAAACAATTATTCAGTTTATGTTAAGAGTTGAACAAATGTGTGAGAATGTGATTTTGATACAAGAATTAGAATTTTAGATACAGTAAATACCGCAGTCTGAAACATCTGGAGGGGATAGCTACCTAACAAGCTAACAAGCTACCTGTTTTGACCACGCACGGCACCTAATTAACCACTCTCTGATCCAAGATTTCCACCAAGTCTCCCTGAAGGGTGTCAGAAGCTACCTTGAGGAGGGGAGTACTGTTACGACCACGCACTTCACCTAATTAATCTAATCATCTAATTAATCCCTCATACCTGTCCCCTTCGGTATTTAAACCTTCACTTCCCACTTCCCAATGCTCGGTATTGGAGTCACTCACCTTGGTGAGCACTTTGCTACAGCAAACTCTTTCCACGCACTTTATCCTGATAAACTCTCCTGGCCTTTTGACTTTTGGCTTTGGCTCTTGGATAATTGCTTTTCGGACCTGCCTTTCGGATCTGTTTGTTCCTCGAAACTGGACTAAGCACTGCATAGGGTTCTGCTTTCTTGACGGCATCGGCCTCTAACACTACCAGAGCTGAAGTGATATAAAATAGTCATGAGATCTTACAGCTCATTACAAGGCCATGTGATTTTTAGTGAAATGCACAAGCTGCAGAATGCATTTCAACCCAACTCAATTAAACACAGTTTAAATCCAGTTAAACTGAGAAAAGCATTTTGATTGGTTTAAATCTAAATATTAACCAGGCTAGCTCATTTGGAGTGAGAAATGTGACTTGTTGGAATGAGTTAGCAAGTTGTTGAGTTGTTTTTTCCTTGTTTGATACATGGAATTCTGTGACACCAAATACAGTATCTCTCTTTGTGACTACTTATTTTGCTGTTCAGATGTACAGTTTTAATTACTGACAGAATACTGCCCCACTTTATTTCACACTTAATAGTAGTTATTGAACTATAACTGTTTCACTTAACTTAATTATTTTTTGTGATTTGGACTTGTTTGTTTTATCATTTGGCTGTTTTGTGATGTATATCAATAAGCGGCTGACCAAGCTAGGGTCAAAGGGTTTTCCTTTCACCATTGTTTCAGGTTCTTTAAACAGGTTCTGCACTGTATAAAATTCAAGGTGAACTGTTTTTTGCATCCACCATACTGTATATATCTGTTTCCCCAAGATCCCATCTATCTAAATAGATGAATACTTGGCCATGGTTTCTTTTTTTGCTTGTGAAGTTAGTAAAGATGGAAAGCAATACATAATTCTTTGGATCGCAAATGTGTGCCCATGCCTTCAGATTATTAGATTTCTTTTCAGGTTTTCAGTGAGGTTACTGAATTAAAAAGTGAAATTCATTTTTTTTTAAATTGCTTCGTCTCCCTAAAATTGAAATTTATTATTAAAGTTAAAAAATGAAAGTTATTCTATAGATCAGAAATGTGTTGGATATTTAATAATTTGTTTAACTCTGCTGAGTAATTAATAATATTGCTTGTTGTAAATAAAGTTGTATTGCTTAATAATATTAAAAATATTAGCGTGGAAAACATTAGCGTGGAATTCCCCCTCCACCACACACACACAAAGAATTGATTTTTAGTTTTGATTGGACTTTGAATGAAAGTGATGTTGTTATTGATTGTATGTACCAGTTTTATAGATAGGTAATAGTCAGCAAACAAGAACCAAGAGATAAATGCTGCTGTCTAGCAGAAAAGGTGAAGGCAGGGCAACAGAGGGTTTACTACAGTATAGGTAGAATTACAAGTCATTCAAGATTTTCTTTCTGCATCCTTTAAATATGATCATTATATATTATAATGCTGACAGTACTGACACAGTGTGCATTCTTTCTTTCCCTCACATTGTATAAAGATACATATCCAACTTATACAGTATGTACACAGCATCATACATACAGAAAAGAGAAGAGAGAAAACACGACTGTGAAGGCTGTGAAGCCTTCTTCTCTTTCCAGCACGGAATAAACCTATTTCTTGTTCCTTTGAAGACTACGCACCCTGATGCAGCGACCCACCTGAACTACTTCCATCATACATACAGTGTATGAATCAACTTTTTTAATCCATTGGAGGTTTTTCTCCACAGATCTAATGAGATTTCCCCAGCTCTTGGTCCAGAACAGAATTAGCTCTGAATTTACTGAATGTTATAGTAAAAGACACAATAATTAAAATGAAAGCTTTTCCTGTCAAATATAATTTTGTGATTTCAATCAAGGTGTATTTTGCAAGAGAAAAAAAGTGGAGCAAATGATTTGAAGGTAGTCACAATAATATCTTTCATATTTTTGTCTTTAAATCTTAATCCTACGTAGTTGTTTTAACGAATATCCTTGCTCCATCCCTGGAGTGTCGCTATCCCTGGAGTGTAGATACTGTACTTTGCTACTTCATATTGAATCAGAACAAAATGAACATTTTTGACTATTAAATAAAAGCCAGTGTTACGATTATAAGTAAACAGTACAGCACACCATAGCAGATTACATGGCAGACACTTCAGACATTATCCTCACTGACGCAAGTGTGTTGCAATATACTGTAGCAAATGAAGATCAAAAACTACTGGGGCTACACTATTCCAAACATTGTATTGGTATAATGGTTCACCAGACACCAAACCTTGACAAAGATTATTTGCAGGATGAGGACTTTGAATTATTGAACCAGAGTCATTTGCAGAACTACGTTCTGATGTGGATTTCATGCATTGTGGCAGTTTTTCTTATTTGAAGAATTTCAGAATTGAAAAACGCTTAAATATCAAATAGACATGACAATACGTCTAACACAGTACATAATAAAAGTTAAGAGCAGATTTATACTGTAACATAGATGATAATCATGCAGACCATTAGTAATAGAAGCAATTTTGATTTTTAAGGACTTTATTTTCTTTTCATGAATAAATGCAGATAATCACAAAATAGAAAGCTTTACATTAATATATATATACTTAAAACAGTATATATGAACACACTTCATTAAGTTTAGACAAGGTAACAGTTACATAGCAACAATTTATCTTGTTCTGGTGCATTTTTTCCAAGTCATTTTTCATCACTTCTAAAACAGGACAAATCCCATTGTTTACCTTCACATGATAATCTATATCACAGGTCTTAAGGTACAGTCCTATGCCCCCTATTTTCCACAGAGTTTCTGCTTCCTCCTTCCCTTCTCTCCACAGATCTCTGAGGTAATAGTTCTCTCTAATAATAGACAGGGCCAGGCTACCCACTCCCCTGATTGTAACCTCGATGCCTTTGAACACCCCCATGTTCCTCACTCTCCACAGGGCGTCTTCCCCACTGTTCACCACAGCCCAAATCCTGTCAAACACGTCAGAGGGACGTTTGACAGGAGAGATGTCGTTTATAATGAAGGCAGAAGTCAGGGAAATGTGAACCTGAGATATACAGAGTAATGTGGGGAAACACTAGTACTACGTGTACATAAACGCTGTTCATTCCCCCCAAGTCGCAGGAGTTAACAATGCCCTTGCTAGTTCCCAACTATTCCAGACAGCTTCCCATCTATCCCATCATGCACTCGCTCAGTTCCCCATCACCGCCTGATGAGGGTGCTACAATACACTGTCCAAATCTTTTTTTGTATCAGTTAAGAATTAGGTTAATTCTAGTTAAGAATTAGGTGGTATATTTGCATAGTCTTAATGCCTTGTGATTCATTTTTTATTTCATGATGCATGAGGTTTCTGTGGGTGTTGTATTCTTCACCATTGCTCTCTGTTAGCTATGTTTCTGTGATTGCAATCACTTTCTAATTGCCTGCTGATGCAGAAGTGTGCACTTCTTGCACTTGTGTTCCTAATACTCTTTGGCATTTAGTTATAAGCACTTAATTACCTGTTTCTCTGATATTTTGTTTTCTTTGTTGCTACTCTTGAACATTTTCTAAGGAT